GGGGTAACATTTTAGGTTACTGCACATGTCTCTGCCCACCATTCCATAATTTTAATTGTATGCATGAGATGTAGTCCCTATGCATTAGCCTTAACCAGCTCTTTTGCTTGGAGAGGTTGCAGGAGGTCAATGAAGTCCCTGTTGTGCATGTGTCACACCTGGGGTGTAAGGTTTATGGCATTCTTATCTTGTCCCTGGAAGGGATATTACTTATGTTGTCCTGGGACGTTAACATTTTAGTTAATGGCTTTATTCTTGAAAGGTTGATTAACATTGTAGGTCCACGGCTTCTTTCCTTATTCCATGACTTTTTATTTGTTGAGGTTTGCCTTCCAGTCACCACCCTACCTCCTGCCTCAGCAGGGACGATAAAAAACGACAGCAGCCGGGCTCGGTGGCTCAGCCTGTAATCGCCTTTGGGAGGCTGAGGTGAGTGGATTGCCTGAGCCCGCGGGTTCGAGACCCGCCTGGGCAGCGAGACCTCATCTCTACAATAAATCAAAAAATCAGCTGGGCGTGGTAGCGCATGCCTGTAATTCTGGCTACTTGGATGGCTGAGGCGGAAGGATCGCCGGAACCCAACAGGTCGAGGCTGCGGTGGCCGGGAGCGGCCACTGCACTCCAGTCTGGGCAACAGAGTGAGACTCCAACTCAAAAAAAAAAAAAGAAAAAAGTAATATGCTTGCTTTATTAAAGAATAATACCATATTTAAAGCTATCACATTTTAGCCATGAAATAAAGGATAAAAGCCTTATTTTATTTTATTTTTTTATTTTATTTTATTTTTTTGAGACTCCAACTCAAAAAAAAAAAAAGAAAAAAGAAACAAAATTAATTTTGGTATTCCAAATTCAGCACACTCTCAAAGAAGAAACTTGAATGAAAATAAACTCAACTCCTATTTGCCCAGCATCCCCAGAGAAAAAGGAAGAATTTCCATATAAATCAAACAAAAAAAAAAGATTAACAATATCCTGTTCAAATACAAACTAGACTTTGTCATCTATCTGCATATCTGGGAGACAGTGCATGTGCAAATTTTGGCAAATTCCATTCAGTACAAACTTCTGCCTAAGCATATTCAAAGCTCCTGCCTGCCACGTGTTTTGCAGTTTTCTTCCCTGTTATACTTACCACCTGGCCATCTCCTCAAAACCTGCAGAGGAACTGAGTTTTGACTTTATCGTAGAAGTAGAAGGAGTAACCTACAAAATGGTTATTAAGGTGAGACAAGTTAGCTAGTACAGTTTAGCCATAGGTAGGGTTGGGTCAAAAATCCCTTAGGTCAGACCTGCGGGTGAAGAGAGATGAGGGGAGGGAGCATGATCCGGTGGCAGGCCTAAGAGGCAAAGAACTGCACAGTAGTTAGATTGGAAAAAATAGTTTTAGAAAGTAAATTAGAGAAAGAGAGAGAGAGGAAATTCACCTCCCCCAAGGTAGGGGAGAGGACCAAAGCTAAGAAAATATGGCAGCCATAGCTCAAAGAACATATCGCCTGGCCAGTTCTTAACAAAACAATGGCAAATGGCTGTTTCAGATAGAATGCTTTTAAACCCTCCCTTTGATGGGGACAGGTCACTAAGGTGGTGGTCTTTTTCTTTTTCTTTTTTTTTTTTTTTTTTTTTGTGAGTCTCACTCTGTTGCGCAGGCTGGAATGCAGTGACTTTCCAGAATGCTTACTCCCACAGCAATCTCGACCTGCTGGACTCAGGCGATCCTTCTGCCTCAGCCTTCCAAGTAGCTGGAACTACAGGCACATGCCACCATGCCCAGCTAACTTTTCTTGATTTATTGTAGAGATGAGGTCTCACCAAGTTGTCCAGGCTGGTCTCGAACCCATGGGCTCAGGCAATCCTCTTTTTCATGGCATCACAAAGGGACAGGTGAGCACAGGTACTGATATCAGGTGGTAAATGGAAGGCAGATGGGTTAGTCACATGACCGCTACCATGTGGATGGGATCTGTGTCATAAAGGGCTGATTAGGTTAACTTGCTTACAAAACAAGCTGGGGAGGGGGTTGTAAAACAATTATCAATAGCTACCTCTGAAAAATTGGCCCTGTCCTTGGCTAGTGATTCAAGGGTAAGCTTAGGTAATGTTGAGACTATGACAGAAAATGGATGCTCATTGGGCATACTGACTCCATCTCATATCCTTTCAGGTAGAAAAGTTTCTTGTAGGAGGGTCTAAATTAAAATAGGGTAAGCATTTAGACATGGTTCTTATCAGTACACACCCTTTACCCAACCAACCAGGCACACCAAACCTGACCACTTTGTGAGCTGGAACGTGGGACTACCAGTATAGTAAATAACAGAAACAACAGAGAGTTACCCAAAAAACAAACGTGATGTTCTAAGAAAGCCCAAATCTAGTTAGGCAATAACTTTCATTATTTAGAAGGTCCTTTGATATTAGAAGGTTGAGAGATGGTCATTAAAATTCATGACCAGATATCTGCAGCCCACCATTCTTAGCTCATGATTTGTTTAATCATCACTGAACAGTTATATAAAACTTCTTGTCGAAGACAAGCATGTGCCCTTTCTCTTAAAGAGCCTACACTTTCCTTGAGCATATCTTTTTCTTTCTAATAAATTTTTTCTTAAACTATACTTTGGATTCACTCTGAAATTCTTTTCTGTGGTGAAATCAAGAACCCACAGAGCAACACACACACCACACCCAACCCAGCATCAAACATGACCAGCCACAGAAAGACGCTTAAATATTAGAAGACAGCACAAGCATATTTTCAAAGTGTGGGTGAAGAAGGACATCGTTCTCTAATCTGGAAATCACTGAAGACAAGAATGAAGAAAAAGGTGCACTAAAACAGAAATTTGTATTCTATTTCTCCACAACTGATTCCTGGTCTTAAAAGAGGCCATCAGGAGCCTCAAGAAGGCTGAACTGACTGCCCTGAGCTGCTCGATGGTGTATGTTGGACAGTCCTCTGCTATCAGGTAACCGGGTCTCAGAGGAAAAAAAGACAAATTCACAAGGTCACTCTCCCACTTGGGTTAGACCTACTCTCAACTATTACTTTGCTCTATCATGCCCTTTCATTTGCTCAAAATGTAATACAATACCCTAATATACATAAATGATAATAATCAGAATTCTGTTAAGATTTTTGCCATCTAGAACTGATTTTAAGAAATGTTGAGTACACAGGTTAGCCTTCCACAAAATCTCTTCTACTTCCATAGCAATGCTTTTAAAAATTCTAGAATTTAAGAAATATTTCATAAGTAGACATGAATATACTGAAAAATTAGTATATTGTGATGACCGGAGTAAACAGTAAATACTTGGTATGCTTGTTTCCCTTTTTCAACATTTGACTTTATCATTTAAAAACAGGTATTAGCAACCACAGTAGAGAGAAAATTACTCCTAGCAAAAATTACACTGAATGTAAGTAGCACTTGATCTTGAAAACTACAGGGTCTCCTAACTACCAGGAAAAAAACTACACATATAGATAGATATAGATATAGATATAGATATAGATATAGATAGATATAGATATAGATATAGATATATGAGGCCAAGGTGGGAGGAGTGCCTGAGCTCAGGGATTTGAGACCAGCCTGGGCAACTCAGCGAGACCTTGTGCCTACAATAAATCAGAAAAATTAGTCAGGCATGGTGTCACGTGCCTGTTTTTCCAGTTACTTAGGAGTCTGAGACAGAAGGATCTCCTGAGCCCAGCAGGCTGAGGCTGTGGGGGCTGTGAGTGTGCACTATGCTCCAGCCTGGGCAACAGAGTGAGACTCCTACTAAAGAAAAAAAGAGAAATGAACAAATCTGTTGTTTCTACGTTTGCTTTCAATTCTATAAAGAGCAAATGATTATCTTTCTGTCCTGACCCTTGGGGTGAAGGGAAGCTGCCCACAAGGCTCAAACATATTTTCCCCTAAACAATGAGCCTAAGATTACACAGACTCCTTGGTGGCATCCTAAAGTTTGATCTGCTGAAGGGCACCCCACTCCCACATACCTCATAATGACCTACTACCCAGGGATCAGTAGCCAAGGGTCTCAGGACTTGCTCTGTAGATAGCCTTTCTCTTATAAAAACTAAGAAGTGTGTTTGAGATGTTTTTAAACTCTTTATAAAAACTCTTTATACTCTGATGGACCTAAAGCCCCACCTAGACCCAGAACACAAACCAAAAAGCGGGCTCTACTGGTCCTGTGAAACTCCCTTCTAGACACTGACTCTGTGACATGAAAACAGTTTCAATAACCCCCAAGACATCATCTCCAACCAATCAACAGTCCCTAGCCCCCTGCCTGACAAATGCCTTTTAAAAACCCTAGTCTCTGAATTCTCGGGAAGGTAGATTTGAGAAATATCTCCCATTCTCCTCGCTCAGCTGCTTTGCAATATTAAACTCTTTCTACACTGTAATAGTTGCATCAGTCTCAGTTTTTCTGGGCAGTGGGCATAAGAACCTGGTCAGGCTGTAACAATCTCAGCAATATCAGGAGAAAGGTAAATCTACCCTGTATCTTCAGAAAAAGAAGACACACTTCTGCATCATAAACCTGTCTTTGAAAGTGCTACTGCTATGTCCTATGAAAGTAACTTAACATAAAATCTGTAAATCTGATTAGTTGTCTCTCTTAATAATAAACTGCCCTGACGATAATATATAAAATTGACACTTGTGTTTTCTGAAAGGAATAAATACTTGTGAGCTTTATCTTTATTTCACTTCCTTTATTTCCCACATGCATGAAAGTCTAAATAAGTAAAAGTCTCGGTCCTCCCGGCTTTCTTATTTAAAAAGAAAAGAAAAAAAAGCTCTGTAGCAATTGGCTCATTTAAATTAACACAGAAAAGGAAAAAGTGGCAGTGTCAATTCATTTAAGATTAAAATTATGAAGGAAACTAGAATTTCCAAAATTGTACTTTTATTCTTCAGATTTTATCCTTATAATGTTACAGGTGCCATAGCTAGAACATTTCCAAAAGCAATACTTACTGTAGCTGCCAGGAGATTTTTCTTCATAAGTGAAATGAAGTTGTAATTCCTCCTCTGACATCTCACAGATGAACACTTTCAGCAAGCAGCAAATAATAAACAAAGCATTATGCGTCTGCCAGATGAAGATGTGGCTAGAAAGAAAAGACCAAAATCACACAAGAATCAATACTTAATCTTAAGCACAGTGTGTTTCTAGCCCATGCTTTCTAGGTGATGTGTCCATACTATTTGTAGTATTAGAACAATGTCCATGCTTCCAGTGGCCCATGATGTATGACACTGCATCGGCAATATCTACACATCCAACTTCAAATTCCATTCCATGAATTTTCCATAGTGAGTCTACGTAATCATACTCTGCACTGATGCCCGTGGCATAACTGTTCCTGTTCTTACCATAACAGTTGTACCACATAAAGGCAAAACAAAAAACAAACTAAAAAATCCAAAAAATATAGTAACATAAAGAGAAGATATGCAAATATGTAACCAAAATTCTAAATAAGGTTTCCTTAGCAGCAGAGTATAATACTTGTTATTTATATTAATGACCATGAACTCACAGGAAAAACTTTAACTTGATTCAGTATAATTTGTTTAGAAGCAGGAAAGTGAATAATCTTTTAATATGCTGCCATCCAAACATGGTTTTTAAAAACAGTGCATAAAAAGTCACCCTTCCACTGAATCTATTATGAAGGAAATAAAGACACAATAGATGTAGAATGAAAATTCTTAAACCAAGTCATTATTTAAACTAGATATGATCAGCAGTGAAACTGCCTTTTTAATAATAACTACATTATTATTAATTTTAGGATTAATTGCCTAAAGATTGTCAAAATACTGAAACAAAACAGATTCCAGAATTTATAATCTCACCCCAACAACTTAGACACTAACCTAAAACCTCTTTCTTTTACTCTTTTCCCTTAATAATGAAAATAATTCCCTCACAAAGTTCTTCCAAAGACCACAGTCCATTTACACCAATAAATGAACAATATTATTCATACTGTTAAATGTAAAGTGAACATGATTTAATCAGCAGGCTTACTTCTGACATTCTGCTGAAAGCTTTAGCTCTTTGGTTCTAGAAAGGAAGACCTTAATTAGTGCACCAAGATTTCCTGTTCGGGGGTTGTTTTCAACTGCAAAAGAAGAAAAGGTTTTAAAAAATTAAAATTAAGAGCCGAAATCAAAGTGAGATTATCATAACATTCATCAAAACAAATGACAAACTGAAATTGCTCACTGACCACCCTTATTGCCAATTTCATACCTAATTAGGGAAATAAGCAATGAGAGAAACTGTTGCTTTTGGTCTTAATTCTGAACATAAAAAATGATGTGCAAAATAAAATGACAGAAATTGTACAAGTAGCCATCTCATTTCACAATTCAAAATTGTAAAGATATCACAGTTAACAGAAATTTTCAATTTATATACACAAATCTTTCTCTTTAGAAAGGCAGACATTAAAAAAAACATGAAAATTGATCATTCATATCCCCAGCATATAGCCTATAATAAACTGTAAAACTTTGTTCAGATCACCACAAATCATTCTAATGAAAAATTTAAAAAGTATAAATAAAGCAATGTGGCTAGAGGGTATTTGATCAGAAACAGTTTTAAAGAGTTTGCTTAAAAATTATTTTTAAGTTTAAACAGTGGACATTTCAGCAAAGCCAGCCTAAAGACTGAGAAAATACTGTTTTGGGAATGAGAAGCTCTAGTTTCTAGACACAGGTCTACAATCAACTGGACACTGAACCCCGGACAAACCACTTCTCCAACCTCAATTTTCTCAGTCTTTAAAAGAAACAACAGCTAACAAACATGGAACAACAGTTACTAAGTGCTTTGCATGCACTGTCTCGTTTATTTCCCATGACAACCCTTCAGGATAAGCACTATTACTGCCATTTCACATGTCCACAAGGTAGGCTGTCACTTGCTCAAGAACTCAGTCAGGACTCTAAACTGCGAGGTTATACCAATCGTGATCTCCAAGAAATTGAACTTTCATCATGAAACAACAAAGCTCTACAAGCCTGCATAACAAGTCCCAGACACACAGAAGTTAAGAGCTCAACAGGACGGAGCAGTTGTTCGGTGGGAAGCTTTAGTCTGACTGATGAAGAGGCTCCGAAGGGCTACGTGCTGGGCCCAGGGTCAAGGATGTGTTAGTGCAAGTGCTTGGTCTTTTTCCTTTGCCAATGGCTTTCAAAAAGGTGAGACACTTGTTTCTCTGAGGCATATTTTTAACAATTTTGAAAACTGGAAATGCAAACACTCCAACACATTGGCCTGTGCTGCCAGAAGAGCTCATCCTTATGCAGATCTGAGAATTAGGCAAACCTGTGCACGTCTTGAAATGTGTCAAAGATCTGAAAGGACCGACTTGCCCAGAATGCTGTTTTAATTCAGCTCGGTACACTGTAATGAACACTGTGCCTGGGAATGAGCATGCCTGCCCTGTGTCTAATGGCTGCCATGGTCATACAGATTCTCCTGCCGGGCATGTGCCCTTGTCACGGCTTGGCAGTCAATCAAGTCAACTTTCAAGCTGTGATAAAATGTAGCACCTTGCTATTCCAAGCGGGTTCCTGGACTAGCAGCATCAGCACTACCTATTTGCTGCTGGAAGTTCAGAATTCCAGGTCCACCCTCCATTTACAGAAGTTGATGGTGCCTCTCAATGTTTAATGTGCATTTAAATCACAAGGTAGGCTTACTGACAAGCAGATTCTGACTCCACATGTGTGAAGTGTGAACTGATAATCTGCATCTTTCACAGTCTCCCAGCTGGTTGCCCATCGCTGCTGAGAGAACCCCACTGTGAGTAGAAAGGCACATTTGTTTCAAGTTGGGGAGTTTTTGTCAAGCTTTCATAATCAAGAATAGATATGTAGCATCTAAACCAAGCAGATGTAGACCAAATAAAACCCTCACAGGCTCTACAAATTAGGTTGGAGACTGCATCAACTTCCCGTCAAACTAAAATAAGAGCAGATTCAACAAGCACCCAGCAGATCCACACAAGTCACAGAGGAAATAAGCACACCCTCTCTGGGAGCAGACATGGCGCCTTTGCAGGTTAATCCCCATCCCATCACCTGCTTCATTTTTCTGAAGAGCCACCAATATACAAACAAAACAGAGTTTGTTTAAACTCTGGCTCCTCACTGACAGAGATTCATGAGATCAGAGACATGGGTCAGTCTTTTTTGTGGTCACACCCACAAGTACAGAATAGAGCTTGTAATACAGTGGGTGCACAGTAAACACTTGCCAGGTTAATGAAGGAAAGAAGGAGAAAACAGCAGTAACCAGAGAATAAGAAAAGGGTTTTGCTGAAACGTCATGGAAGAGATAAATCGAACTTGTGAAAAGAATTTCAGAACACAACATAATCAGTAAAAGATGGGAAAATCAACAATCTACTTTTTAAAAGAGCAGAAAACCATTGGGGAAAATGAGTGCAATGCAAAGAAAGCAGCCAGACATGAGAAAATCCAGGAAAGACTAGAAATGATTAAAACTGATAATGGCAGTAATAGCCACAACACATACTAGGACATTAAAAGAGGAGAACTGACAATGTAGAAAACATTGACTCAAAGATCCAAAGGGGGAAATACCAGAAAAGAACAGAGACAAAGAAGAAGACACAGAAGGCCAAGAACCAAGATCCAGCTGAACAGGGGACCCAGAACTGGAGAAGAAATTAAAACACAAATAAAATCAAAGCCATAACTAAAAAAAAACAAAAAACAAAAAAAACTTCTGAACTGAAAAAGGCCTTAGTACATAAATCAAAACACCTCATTAAATTACAGGCAAAAGCATGAAGAAAAAAAAACATAATGACAAATACTTAACTATAAGGGCTATAGGGAAAAGTCTCATGAGCATAGAAGCATATATGTATATTTTAAGATGGTCACAGACTTCCTCGGAGTAATACTAGATGCTGGAAAATGGTTGACTATCCACAGAGTTTGGAGAGAAAAATGACAGTTAAAAAAAAAAACACCTATGCATAGAGAAGTTGTCCGTCACACTTGACTGACTCCTACACTGTGCATAAACAGAAAAGGAATCCAAAGTTCCCAACAAAAAACAACAGTGAGCTTAAACAATGTGATCACATTTTACAAGCTGCCTGGTCTAAGTTAATTCCGCCAAATCGGAGGTCCTGGTAAGTCTGGTACTAGGACTTTCCACTGATATCCCCGAAGGACCATGCCTTAGCAGTAAGAACAGCATCTCATGACTAAGGGCTATACCCTAGCACTAAAAAAATTCATAAAAACTAACAGGAGACCCAGAAGAGCAAGAGAGAGAGAAAGGGGCAGAAAAAAATATATGGAATAGGTGTGGGGAAACAAAGCTTCCCTGTATTTTTCTCAGTGTCCCTATAAAAAAGTCCTAGCCTACTAACTCAGAGAAGCATCTATGCTATAAAGTGAGAGCTTTCTGCTTTCACTTCTCCTAGAAACATTTCAGATGCCATAAGGAAAGAACAGTAGCCATCTGTTCAAAACTCCTATTATCTCACCAGAAGTCAAGCAGTTACATCTCAGGATAAGCTTCTAGCTGACTACAAAGTACAAAGCCGTCCATGGCAGCTACTTGGGAGGCTAAAGCAGGAGGATCACTTGAGTCTAGGAGCTCAAAGCCAGCATGGGCAATACAGCGAGATACCATCTCAAAAAAAAATAACAGCAAGTAACAATGGCCACAAACCTCTCAAATTGATGAAAAACATTAATCTACAAATCCAAGAATATCAACTAACATCAAATAGAATTTAAACTAGTAATTTCTTTGGGAGGCTGAGGCAGGAGAGTCACAAGAGATCAGGAGTTTAAGACCACCTGGGAAACACAGCGAGACCCAATCTCTACAGAAAATACAGAAATTAGGCTGGGCGTTGTGGCGCATGCCTGTAGTCCTAGCTACTCAGGAGGCCGAGGCAAGAAGACTGCTTGAGCCAGGGAAGTCAAGGCGTCAGTGAGCTGTGATCGTGCCACTGCACTCCAGCTTGAGTGACAAAGTGAGACCCTGTCTCAAATAAATAAATAAAAATTTTAAAGGCAGAGAAAATTCTGAAAAGAGCACGAGAAAAAATTACTCATCATTTACAGAGGAATGATTAACATTAGACTCCTTATCTGAACAAAAAAAGGAGACTGGAAGACAGTAGAATAATATGTTCAGAGTACTGAAAGAAAATCATGTTAACCAAGAATTCTATATCCAGAAACACTATCCTTCAAAACTGAAGGCAACAGGGGGTTAAAAAAATTCACAGTCACGAAATTTGACAAATGCTACCTCAGCCAGACGCTCAAGATCAGCATCATCAGTGACAGGTCCTATTAAGAGCATGAGACTTAGTATGCTGAGAACAGCACTTCACCTCCACAGTCTTCCTCCCACAAACCCACAACCCCAGTCCAACCATGAGAAAAGCATCAGACACACTCAAACTGGGAGACGTTCTGGAAAACTTCTTATTCTAAAACGAATCGAAATGTAGAAAAATCTGAGAAACCATTTTAGATCAGAGGAGGCTAAGGAGACATGTTGATTAAAAGTACATGTAAGTCAATGTACATAGAATACTCTGAAAAAAAAATTTTCACCAAAGATTAGGAGTGATTACCTCTGTGTAATATGAGATTATTTTTATTTTAGCCATACCACCATAATGTTGGAATCTTTGGCAATAAATGCATACCTTTTTTAGCTGTTCCCAAAAGTATTTCTAAATACATCATAACATACTCCCAATATAATGTCAAATGAAAAACATAAATTAAAATAATTGTGTGTGTGCATGCGTGTATGTCTGGTGGATAATATATATGTAAATGTATATCCATAGAAGGTAGATAATATTTATGTAAATGTATATCCATAAAAGACAATATAGAAAATATTAACAATAGCTACGTCAGAGTTATAGAATTATAAGCAATTACTGCCTTTTTACATTTTAGTATGGTTTTTTCCCATATATATAATCAATAAACATTATTTCCCATTTTTAAAATATAAATTTTTCACACTTTTTAGTTTTTTGTTTTATTACATTTTTCTATTTTTCCTTTTTTAAATTTTCTTATTTTCATATTTTTTAAAATTTTTTAAAATTTTATAAAAGTCCAAGGTCACCTTAAAAATTATCACAATTGTACTGATATCATTATTACATAAAACTCTTTAATTTTCAGCATTAAACTGCCAATGGCTTTTGAAAGCCAGCCCTATTTAGCACAAAATTATCTAAGCTATGGCTCTAACTCAAGGCAACTACTACAAAGCTTCTATCATTATCAACATAATATTTTTGTTTGTTTGTTTTGTTTTGTTTTTGAGTTGGAGTCTCACTCTGTTGCCCAGGTTGGAATATAGTGGCATGCTCACAATCACCACAGCCTTGACCTACTGGCCTCAGGTGATCCTTCAGCCTTAGCCTTCCAAGTAGGTGGAACTACAGGCACGTGCCACCAAGCCCAGCTAATTTTTTTATTTATTGTAGAGATGAGGTCTCACCAAGTTGCCCTGGCTGGTCTCAAACCTGTGGGCTCAGGTAATTCTCTCACCTTGGCCTCCCAAAGTGCTGGGATTATAAGCATGAGCCATCGCGCCCCAGCATAATATGTTTTTAAAAGCAAAATTATTTAACTAAAAATTGTGTTTGGCAAAGTAACTCACATATAGTTATCCATATAGCTTAAATGGAGCTTATTTATACAGCTTGATTAGAAAGAGGATATTATTATCACTTATTAAGCTCCTATACACTGGGAATTTTACAGACACATTACCTCTAATTTTCAAAGCAAGAATGCATTGTAAGTATGATTATCTGCATTTTCAAAATTATGTACATTCCCTTCCAGTTGCAACCAACTTGAAAGTGAAGTATTTGTAAAATGAGGCCTGAAAAAGGTAACTTTTATTAATATAAATGATGAATAATAACTAGATGCTACATGTCATAGTAGATATTTCATGTTAACTAAATTTTTCTTTCATGAATACTATAAAATAGTTGCTCTTATCCTCAATTTAGGTGAGGAAATTAAGGCTCAGCTAATAAGTGGAAGAGCTAAAATAAAATCATAAAATGATTCCAGATCCCATCTCTTTACCATAACATAAAGTTGTTATAAAAAAACTTCCTAATATATTTTAGGATATAAATATAACTATACTTGGTGATAATGATTCTAGCATATAAAGCCAAGACAGTTGGCAAGTCATATGGTCCTGTATCAGATATATATCCATGCAGATATACATGCAACTACAAAACTAACAATATTTTTATTTTTTTCAGTCCTTCAAAGTCCACAAAAGGAACAAGCTGAGAGTCCACAGCTTAGCAGAATTCATTATCACTACTGCAAACATAGCCAAGTATATATCTTATTGCTATTAACTAAATGATACCTTCTAATAGCATCAGTGAGCACCAGGAATAGAAATTTTTAGTGCTACTGTTATCATCATAACCAAGAAAAATCCATTACTTCATTCATTCAATTCATATTATACTATCAAAATTCATAACAGCAAACCTTTAAAAATGTCCCCACACAAACACACACACACACACACACACACACACACACACACACACACACACACACACTTTCCCCCTTACCTAAAGACCTGCAGACTGAAATGGTTGCTTCCTCCAAGAGTTTCAACTCAGTACTGAAGAGACAGAAGAAGAAAGGTAATTAATAACTATAACACTGTACTAAATATGTGCAAACTAGCTTAAAAAGATATATATAAGTAAGAAAAATAATTTGGAAGAAAATATGGTATTCAGTAATGAACAATAGAATCAGCAAAATAAAGTTCCAATTTACACATATGAGATTCCTAAAAGATAAGAGTTGGGACCCCCCCGCCCTACAGGGACTAGGGTGGGGAGGAGACTTTAAAAACTTGGAGAAAAACACTCTGTAGTAGAAAGCAGGGGACCCAACCCTAAAAGGTGTACCAATCATGAGACCATAGTTATTTTTTTAATACCATCATTTTTAGAAGACATATGCAGTGTCACAATGTCTGTGATACTTTCAAATAGTTCAACAAAGAAAACAAAAGAAATAGGACAAAAAAAGAAACTATATATATATGTGGATATAAATACAGTCATATATATATAAATCCATTATATATAAATATATATATATAAACTTCAGTGGGTTGTAAATATATAAACACATACATACAAACATGAAGAGACAGACAGATACAGCACAGAGACAAGAGGTAGAGACCAAGAGAGACAAAAATAAAATTCTCAGAAGAAAACATCCTTCAAGACACTGGACTTGACAATGATTTCTTGGATATGACACCAAAAGTTAAGGCATCAAAAGAAAAAGCAGGCATACTGGACATCATCAAAATTAAAAACTTACCCAGAGAATGAAAAAATCTGATAAAGGATTGATATCCAGAATATGCCTTAAAAACTCCTAAAGCTCAACAACAAAAAAACAACCAAATTTTAAAATGGGCAAAGGGGCCGGGCATGCTGGCTTGAGCCTATAATTCCAGCACTTTGGGAGGTCGAGGTGAGTGGACTGCCTGAGCCCATGGGTTCAAGAACAGCTTGGGCTACTTGGCAAGACCTCATCTCTATAATAAATCAAAAAACTAGCCAAGCATGGTAGTGCGTGCCTATAGTTCGGCTACTTGAAAGGCTGAGGTAGAAGGATCACCTGAGCCCAGCAGGTCTACGCTGGGGTGGTCGTGAAAGTGCCACTGCACTACAGTCTGGGCAACTGAGTGAGACTCCAACTCAAAAAAAAAAAAAAAAAAGGCAAAGGACTTGACAACCATTTCTCCAAAGATAGACAAATGGTCAACAAGCACATGAAAAGATTCTCAGCATCAGTAGTCACTAGGGAAATGCAAAATTAAAACCACAATGAGTTACCCATTGAGATGGCATCATAAAACAAAACAAAACAGAAAATAACAAGTGTTGGTGAGAAAGTGGAGAAACTAAGACCCTGATACATTGTTGCTGGGCTTCTAACGTGGTGGAGTTACAGTGGAAAAAACACAGTAGTTTCTCACAAAATTAAACACAAAATCACCGTATCATCCAGCAATTCCATGTCTGAGTATATTCCCCCCAAAATTGAAAAGCAAGGTCTTGAAGAGATATTTGCACACTCATTTTCATAGCAGCCGTACTGATAATAGCCAAAAGGTGGAAGTAACTCAAGAGTTTACAAACAGGTAAACAAAATGTGGTACATACATAGAATATTATTTTGAATTTTTTTTAAAAGGAGGAAATGTTGACATCTACTACAACATGGATAAACGCTGAGGACATTATGCTAAATGAAATAAGCCAGTCATAAAAAGATAAATGAAATAAGTCAGTCATAAAAATATTGTGTAATTCCTCTTATATAAGTTCCTAGAGTACTCAAATTCATTGAGATAGAAACTAAGAACTAGACTGATGGGATTCTACCAAACTAAAAAGCATCTGTTCAGCAAAGGAAACAATTAACAGAGCAAAGAAACAACCTGTAAAATGGGAAAAAATATTTGCAAACTGTGTGTTTGACAAGCAAGAACATAGAAGAAACTCAAACAACTCCACAACAACAACAAAATCCACAAATAATACTATTTTTTAAATGGGCATGAGATCTAAAATACATTTCTCAAAAGAAGACATACAAATGGCCAACGGGTATATGAAAAACTTTTCAACATCACTAACCATCAGGAAATACAAATCAAAACCACAATGAGATATCACCTCATCCCAGAGAGAATGGCTACTACCAAAAAGACTATAAGGCTACAGTAATCAAAACAGCCTAGTATCGGTACAAGAACAGCCACATAGACCAATGGAACAGAACAGAGATTCCAGAAGCAAAATCTCAGTTTCTCGACAAACTCATTTTTGACAAAGCCCCTAACAACAACCACTGGGGAGAGGAGAACCTATTCAGTAAATGGTGCTGGGAAAACTGGCTGACCACATGCAGAAGATTGAAACAGGACCCCTACCTATCACCATACACAAAAATCAATTCTAAATGCATCAAAGGCCTAAACATAAGACCTCAAACTATAAGAACCTTAGAAAATGCAGGCGACACCCTTACAGAAATTGGAACAGGCAACCAATTCCTGATCAAAACCCCAAGTGCCCATGCCATAAGAGATAAGATAGACAAGCGGGACCTCATCAAAGTGACAAGCCTCTGCAAAGCCAAAAAAACCATTGAGAGAGTGAGGAGACAGCTCACAGACTGGGAAAAAATATTTGCCAACTGTATATATGACAAAGATCTAACATCTAGGATCCACAAGGAACTCAAACGTTCCAAAAGGAAAAGAACAAACAGCCCCATTAAGAAGTGGGCAAAAGACATGAATAGACAATTCTCAAAAGAAGATATACGGACAGCCAACAGACACGAAAAAGTGCTCACTCTCACTAATCATCAGAAACATGCAAATCAAAACCACAATGAGATTCCACGGAACCCAAGTAAGAATGGCCATCATTAATAAAACAAACAACAGATGCTGGTGAGGATATGGAGAAAAAGGAATGCTTTTATACAGCTGGTGGTAATACAAACTAGTGCAACCTCTTTGGAAAACAATATGGTGACTTCTGGAAGAAAATTGAAATTGACCTTCCATATGACCCAGTAATCTCCCTATAGGGAATATACCCAGAGGAACTCAAATCATTCTACAAAAAAGATACCTGCACACGTATGTTTACTGCAGCACTACTCACAATAGCAAAAACATGAAACCAACCATGCTGTTCATCGAAACTGGACTAAATTTTTAAAATGTGATACCTATACACAATGGAATATTATGTAGCCATATGGAAGGACAAACATGGACTTTGCAGAAACTTTGACGGATTTAGAGTCCATCATACTCAGTGACCAATCACAGAAACAGAAAATTGAGTACCGCATGTTCTCACTCAGAAGTGAACCTTGAACAATTACCATAATACTATAAGAAAGGGATTGGCAGTAAGTAGGAAACTGCCAGAGGAGGAGGGGTGGGATTGACAGTAGTGGGAAACTGCCAGGGGAGGGGGTGCACACCTCATCAACAAGGATGCCTGCATAACGAACATCTGTATACCTAACTCTGAATTGTACCTCACATCTTTAAAATTAAAAATTTTTTTAAAAAAGATAAAAAAGCAAGGCACAGTGGTACGTGCCCATAGTCCCAGCTACTCAGAGAAGTATCACTTGAGCCCAGGAGTTTGAAGCCAGCCTGGGCAACACAGCAAGACCCCAAATCCATAATAATAATTTTTTAAAAGATAAAAAATAACAAACGTTGCCGAGGCTGTAAAGAAAGGAGAACTCACATACTATCGGTAGGAATATAAACTAGTATAGCCATTGTGGACAACAATAGAGATTCCACAAAATAAATTAAAAACAGAACTGCCTAGAATGCAACAATTCCACTACTAGGTGTACAGGTTGAGTATCACTTATCTGAAATGCTTGAGACCACAAGTGTTTCAATTTCCATTCTGGGGGGATTTTGGAATATTTGCATTATACTTGAGTATTCCTAATTCAAAAATCCAAAATCCAAAATGCTCCAATTAACATCTCCTTTGAACATCATGTCAGCACTCAGTTAAGTTTTAGATTTTGGGCCAGATGCAGTGGTTCATACTTGTAATCCCAGCACTTTGGGAGGAGGAGGGAGAGGATTGCCTGAGCCCAGAAGTTAAAGACCAGCCTGGGCAACATGGCAATACCTTGTCTCTACAAAAAATTTTAAAAATTAGCCAGGCATGGTGGCACGCACCTGTAGTTCTGGCTACTTGGAAGGCTGAGGCGGAAGGATCGCCAGAGCCCAGCAGGGTGAGGCTGCGGTAGCCGGGAGCTTGCCACTGCACTCCAGTCTGGGCAACAGAATGAGACTCCAACTCAAAAAAAATAAAATAAAAGTTTTTGATTTTGTAACATTTCAGAGTTTGGATTTTCAGGTTAGGGATAATCAACTGGTATATACTGGGGATGCCAAAAAAATGTACACACATTTTAAGAGATGTCAGGAGGCCGGGCTCGGTAGCTTAGCCTGTAATCCCAGCACTTTGGGAGGCCAAGGTGAGTGGATTGCCTGAGCCCGAGGGTTCGAGACCTGCCTGGGCAACCTGGCAAGACCTCATCTCTACAATAAATAAAAAAATTAGCTAGGCATGGTAGCACGCGCCTGTAGTTCCAGCTACTTGGAAGGTTGAGGTGGAAGGATGGCCAGAGCCCAGTAGGTCAAGGCTGCAGTGGCCGGGAGTGGCCGCTGCACTCCAGTCTGGGTGACAGAGTGAGACTCCAACTCAAAAAAAAAAAACAAGAGATATCAGGAGATATTCACTGTAATCAGAAGTATCTGGTTGCTAATGGTAACCACTTTGAGCACCTCTTGTAATTGCAGAAGTCAAACGTGACTTGTGTTCATCTTTTGCTAACGGTATATGCTGAGTATTAAAATTTTTTTTTTTTTTTAGTTGGAGTCTCTGTCGCCCAGACTGGAGTGCAGTGGCCGCTCCCGGCCACCGCAGCCTCGACCTGCTGGGCTCCAGCGATCCTTCCGCCTCAGCCTTCCAAGTAGCTGGAATTACAGGCATGCACTACCACGCCCGGCTGATTTTTTGATTT